AATTGCTTTCAAGTTCCTCCTCCCAATCTTGAGTTGAGTTAAATAAAAATGTAAGGAGCAAGATGGAAGTGCCATCTAAGACCAAAGCCTTGTAGCATCGGGAATTCTTTCACAGTTCCACTGTTAGCAACATTTGGGCGCTACAGAAAACATCTGGGACATTCAAGCCTAAGAACAATCTACAAAAACACATGTGATGTACCACTTCTCCATTACCTTCAATTGACTACTGGTTTTCTTCTTACTTCATGCCACGTTTGTTGCTGTTCTAGCCATAAACAACAGAGCAGGCACCACTAGGGGCTGTAGCATCTGCTGTGTAACCTTTGCTGAGGTTATCAGTTTTGCTGCTAGGGACTGGTTCCTAACAACCTCAGAAGTTGAGTAGTTTGCAACCATCCTGTTCACTCACTGAAGTGTCTCAGTGACAGTAGTTCTACTAGGTCCCAGAAGATCTACCAAAGATCTCTTTCGTAGGCTCGGACCTTTTTCGTGTGGGACTTTTCAGGTCTTCCAGATGATAAACACTGCTACTTCATTTATCGCAGTCTCTGACACAACGTCCAGGTTAACAGGTACCTGGGTAGCAAAATCGTTCTTTTCTACTTCACAGTCACCTGTACCTTCAGTTACACACTTTTAAGCCATTGCGGCATCTCCAAAGAGTCCCCAAGTTGACTCTAGATATTCTGCCATCTTAAAAGTTGCCAGAGTTATTTGGATGTGTTCCTCACGATTACAACTGAAGTTCATTGCAAGTGAAAATACTTCCCTATCTTACCCTGGTTGGACTGCAGCTGGAAAACTCGTGTCCAGTTCTGGTCACCACAATACAAAGAAGGATGCTGAGAAGAACATCAAAGACAGTAAGGAACTTAGAAACTAAAACCCATGAAGAGCAGTTATAGGAAGTTGGGCACGTCTAGTTTAAAGAAGAGAAGGATGTGGAGAGAGATGATAGCAGCTCTCCAATACATGAAGGACCCTCACAGGGGAGAGAGAGAGAGAGAGTAGATGCCTCTCCAGCATCTGAGGACAAGACAAGAAGCAGTGGGTGAAAGCTTCACAGCGAACGATCCAAAATTGAAACTTAGGAGGAATTTCCTGACTTTGAGAACTGTTAATCAACGGAACAGCTCCCTCCTAAAATTGTGGGGGCTCCATCTCTGGAGGTTCTCAAGAAGAGACTGGACAGCCATTGGTCCAGGATATCCTGAGGATTCCTGCCCTGGACGTGGGTTGGATTGGAAGACCTTCCAACCCCTAGGCTTATAATGAAAGCAGTATTTCAACTCTGGCTGGTTTTTTGTTTTGTTTTTTTTGCATCCCTGTTTTGAAAGCTAGCTTCCCAAACAAAGACTAAGTTCCAGCTATTGAAATTTGATCCAAAGATGCTTTTATTTTTTCAAGAGGCAAGTGGGGCTTTCTTTGTTTCTCCTTGAAGCCGTTTCGCTTCTCATCCAAGAAGCTTCTTCAGTTCTGAACTGAAGCAGAACCAAAGAAGCTTCTTGGATGAGAAATAAAACATCTTCAAGGAAAAGATGTTCTTGGGGGAAGAAAAAGTACCTGTGGAACACCCCTGACTTGGATAACTGAGAATCTCCATAGACACATTGAAATCTGACTTCTCTTTGTCTGAAAACCTAGCGTGCCTTTCTACCAAACAGAATTAGACAGATGTACAGTCACTTAAATATGTACAATTATGTCTAGTTTAACGAAGAGAAAGACAAGGGGGGATATGATAGGCATGTTCCAATATCTCAGGGGCTGCCAGAAAGAAGAGGGAGTCAAGCTCTTCTCCAAAGCGCCTGAAGGCAGGACAAGAAGCAACGGGTGGAAACTAATCAAGGAGAGAAGCAACCTAGAACTAAGGAGAAACTTCCTGACAGTTAGAACAATTAAAACTTATAAGGAACGGTTGCTGGAATTGGGTATGTCTAGTTTAATGAAGAGAAGGACGAGGGGGGACATGATAGCAGTCTTCCACTATCTCAAGGGCTGCCCCAAAAAAGAGGGAGTCAAGCTATTCTCCAAGGCGCCTGAAGGCAGGACGAGAAGCAACGGATGGAAACTAATCAAGGAGAGAAGCAGCCTAGAACTAAGGAGAAACTTCCTGACAGTTAGAACAATCAACCAGTGGAACAACCTGCCTCCAGAAGCGGTGAATGCTCCAACACTGGAAGTTTTTAAGAAGAGACTGGACAGCCATTTGTCCGAAATGGTGTAGGGGTTCCTGCCTGAGCAGAGGGTTGGACTCGATGACCTCCAAGGTCCCTTCCAACTTTATTATTATTAAGATGCTCCCGTCCTACTGTCCCTTCCTAGTCAGCATTTCAAGAGTGGATTTGAGAAACAAGAGTGTGTCTCCAATCTCTTTTGCCATCTCTGGCCTCTATTACCGAAGAGACTCTTTTAAGAGGCATCCTTCTTCCTGTTCTCAAGCCATCACAGTTTCTCCTTCGAGGCAAATTGCATTATACGTGGGCGAATTTTGCTTTGTATGAAATCAAATCGAGTCACATAAATGCAGCTGGCTGGAAGGCAGTTTAAAACATGCTGGATATAAAAGTATGTGCTCTCTCTTAATGACTAAAATAGTTATGTTTACTGGTGCACAAGGATTTTCATTGTACGAGGGTATTCCCCCCCCCCCCAAGCTTCGAAATGCGACAAGGAAACATGTTTTCATGCACAGAGAAATGGCTGAAGAACAAAATCTTTTTTTTGCCCTTAACCGGGAAAATGTTAATAATAATTAATTAATTAATTAATAATAATAATAATAATAATAATAATAATAATAATAATAGTGCATTGAAGGAACATAGCTTATTGTTGATACATTCCAGAGGGAGGTTTTGAAATGCTTATTGTCAAAATCAGCACAAATATACCCAAGAAAACAAATGTAGAAATGGTGGACACAAGTGGCAGACTTACTTTTGTCTTGTTTTTAACCTGTTAAATATAGAAATCACGCCCTTCGTTTGCTAGGTGTTACGTAGCAAAAAGCCCAGAAAAGCAAAAGAATGCAAGAGCACCACCTGCACACATGAAAAAAGAATAGTAACATAAAAATAAAGATTGTTGTTGTTGTTAGTTGCGAAGTCGTGTCCGACCCATCGCGACCCCATGGACAACATTCCTCCAGGCCTTCCTGTCCTCTGCCATCTTCTGGAGTCCATTTAAGCTCACGCCTCCTGCTTCAGTGACTCCATCCAGCCACCTCATTCTCTGTTGTCCCCTTCTTCTCTTGCCCTCCATCTTTCCCAGCATCAGGCTCTTCTCCAGGGAGTCCTTCCTTCTCATTAGGTGGCCAAAGTACTTGAGTTTCAACTTCAGGATCTGGCCTTCTAAAGAGCAGTTGGGGTTGATCTCCTCTAGGACCGACCGGTTTGATCGCCTTGCAGTCCAGGGCACTCGCAGGAGTCTTCTCCAGCACCATAGTTCAAAGGCCTCCATTCTTTGGCACTCAGCCTTTCTTATGGTCCAACTTTCACAGCCATACATTGCAACTGGGAAAGCCATGGCTTTGACTATACGCACTTTTGTTGGCAGGGTGATGTCTCTGCTTTTTAGTATGCTGTCTAGATTTGCCATAGCTTTCCTCCCCAGGAGCAAGCATCTTTTAATTTCTTGGCTGCAGTCCCCATCTGCAGTGATCTTGGAGCCCAGGAAGATAAAATCTGTCACTACCTTCTAACAAAGCATAAAAAAACAAAAAATTCAGAGTTTGTATTTACTGTTTAAAATGGAGCAAGGAAGGAACACATATTACCCAACTCCACAATTGGATCAGGCTAATAAAAAGTCTCTCTCCAGTATCCTCCAACAATCTGTTTAGATGAGTGGAATATTGTCTTGAGTTCTGATAGTAGCTCTGAAATTTTAGGCAGAGTCATTTGGATTCAGATAAGCTGGGTAAAGTATCCTTTGGGGCACAAGAAAGGAACTATCCAGCATTTTGACGTGGACTTAGACTAAACTTAAAATTCACAACCTGGTTAGGAAACTAAACTACGCTAAAATTCACAACCTGGTTCCCTGCAGATGTGCTGGATCCAAAGTCCTGTAAGCTTCAGTCACCACAGAAAATTATTAGGGATTTGGGCTTCATAACTGTGATTCCTGCCAGCCTGTGTTCCCAACAGCTGAGTCTGAGGAATCTGAGGAGGAGGTGGAGGAGGCATTTGAAGGGCCATCAGGGTCAGAGGGAGGCTCTGATGAATTACAAGACTCAAGGTTTGATGAAGAGCCTGGGCCCTCCAGTCATGTTCCTGATGAAGCTCAGCTGTGTGAGGAGAATGAGTCAGACTCAGAGGACTCACACCTGATGGACATGCTAATTGATGCTCGCACACACCGGCAATTAGCGAGAGTAAATCAGCAGCAGTTAATACGAAAACTCCAGGAAAAAAGGAGAAGGCACTGAGAGGCAACGCTTTGGGACTGCTGTATAAAAAGAGGAGGTGTGGGCAGTGCTGGTTGCTGAAGGCAACCATTTGCAAAGTACTTCATGAGATCCTGTTCTGTTCGCATCGTGTTTCATGTAGACTATTTCCTCCATTTGGATTGTGTTTTGCTGCTTTTGTTTCTGGACTATTTGGCAGGTTTGTCACTCATATTAAAAGGGGTTTGTTTTGTTTTAAGTCTCCAGCCTATTTTATCAACAGGGGTTTGGTCCTTGGGATAGAACAATAATACTCGGAAAGCAGCAAGCTGAAGAGATCGTAGACCAGATCAACTTTAAGACCCGTGGACTTCCAATTCACAGAATTCATGGCTGGCTGGGGAATCCTGGGAGTTGAAGTCCACAGGCCATAGGTCACGTCGAGCTGCTGTAGACCGTTGGCCCACGATCAGGAGGAGGAAACCAGAACCTAGAAAAGTCACGGCAGGGATTATCTTTAAATGGGCTTTGAGGCGGTGCAACTGCTTCATTTTGCTTGGCTTAATTACTTTCCAATCGTTTGTCTTTCTCTTTTTGCTTCCTGCAGATTGTTTGAGGGGCGGTCTCCGAGAAAGCCTGAGAAACTCAAAACCCTTTTCTGCTACTTCCGAAGAGTCACGGAAAAAAGTAAACTTGTCAATCTCCTAGTCTTTTCTCTGCCCCCCCCCCCCAGGGAATAAGCCTTTAACTTAGAAGTTTTTAACTTAAGCCTTTAACTTAGATTAGAGGTCTGGAGGCTAAAACATTCAAGGAACGGTTGCTGGAATTGGGTATGTCTAGTTTAATGAAGAGAAGGATGAGGGGGGACATGATAGCAGTGTTCCAGTATCTCAGGGGCTGCCCCAAAGAAGAGGGAGTCAAGCTATTTTCCAAAGCGCCTGAAGACAGGACAAGAAGCAACGGATGGAAACTAACCAAGGAGAGAAGCAACCTAGAACTAAGGAGAAACTTCCTGACAGTTAGAACAATTAACCAGTGGAACAACCTGCCTCCAGAAGCAGTGAATGCTCCAACACTGGAGGTTTTTAAGAAGAAAATGGACAGCCATTTGTCTGAAATGGTCTAGGGTTTCCTGCCTGAGCAGGGGGTTGGACTAGATGACCTCCAAGGTCCCTTCCAACTCTTGTTGTTCTGTTCTGCTTTTAGAAGGCGATAACTTTATTTGGGTGGCCTTAGCTCATCACAGAATAGTCGTTTTGTGGTGAAACAGAAGATTAATGCAAATATTGCTGGGGGGGGGAAACGGAACAAGGCTTCCGACAAACCTCTAGAATCCCTGGCAGCTTCTAATAGATTAATAAGACTCTTTAAATATTTTCCGTAGAGAATTTTCTGGGGATATTGCGTTCTGCTCCCTTCGTGTATTCAATTTAGCAAACCCGCCAGCCGGATCATTGCAAAACACAAGAGATGAGGCATTTCCATAAGAACAAAGAAAACTAAAATAAAATAAAAAGTTGTTCCCTCCTGGACATGCTTATTGAGAAAACTTTCCCTATCCATCTCTCATTTCTCTGAGATGCTTAGGTAGAATGGCAAGCTTAATTATTAGTAAGCATCCAAGTTTTATCTACTTCGTTGTCTGTTTAGTTTTAATGTTTAAACTTTTAGTGCTTAATGTTTTCATGTCTTTTTTAAGCTTATAATAATAATAATAAAGTTGGAAGGGACCTTGGAGGTCATCTAGTCCAACCCCCTGCTCAGGCAGGAAACCCTATACCATTTCGGACAAATGGCTGTCCAGTCTCTTCTTCAAAACTTCCAGTGTTGGAGCATTCACCGCTTCTGGAGGCAGGTTGTTCCACTGGTTAATTGTTCTCACTGTCAGGAAGTTTCTCCTTAGTTCTAGGTTGCTTCTCTCCTTGGTTAGTTTCCATCCGTTGCTTCTTGTCCTGACATCGCAAGCCACCCAGAGTCACTTGATAGTCTGATGGGCAGCATATAAATTTAATAAATAAATAGTGGCTGCACAAAATAAGACCCTTTGCCGAAGGAAATGAATTCTTTCTAGCTGTCAAACTTCCTTCTCTTTCCCCCAAAAT